GCTTCTCAAATCAGGCGGGACCACAGTGGCTGGAACTCAGCTTGGGCAGCGGGAGGCGAGTTCTTCCCTCCTTCCAGCTGCCGGTCCTGGGTGGGAATATGCGCCCTCGGGGCAGGTGCCCTGAGGCTCCTCCTAAACTACGGTGCTGGAGGCCTCACTCCTCACTCTGTACCCCCTCCTCTGGGCCTTCTCAGCCAGGCCTATGACTTCAGTTCCACTTACGTGGAATCTCATAATTGACCCCTCCAACCCTTTCCTGGGAGGTGTGTCTGCCTCCTGACATCTCCACCTGGGTGTCTGAAAGTCCCCTTGAACTCACCACGACTGTGCGCGTACTCTTCCACTCCGCACCTGCTCCCCTCGTTTTCCCTGATTCCATAAAAATCCCACCTTCTATCATCACATCAAAAGACCAGAAGAATCAATTGTGGGAGAAAGTGTATCATCATATGTAAAATCCACATCATCCCTAATACTTCCTTCTTCCGTCTCACCCTATGCCCAATCCACCACCAAGTTCTGTTGATCTTACCTCCTCACATCTCTGATTTCCGTCCAGTTCTGTCCATCTTCACTGTCACTTTGTTCTGACCTTCACCACCAGGACTCCCGGGAGAGCCTCCTGAGTGGGCTCTCCCTGTGCATTCTTCCCCTCTCCAGTCTGTTCCCTACACAGCAGCCAGAACATAAAGCTGGAAGATAAAGCTGCTCACGTCACCTCCCTATTTAAAATACCAGTGACTTCCTAATGCTCTTCAGAGAAAAGATAAAGCTCAGCATGGCCAGTAAGGCCTTGTGTGTCTGCTCTTCTGCCTCCACCTGCCAACCCTTCTCACTCCAGTCTTCCTTAGTTCCTCGAGTGTTCCAGCCTCTCTCGTGACCCAGGGCCTTTGGACAAGCTGCTTCCTGTGTCTGAAACACTCTCAACTCAACAGAGTGTATCCAGTCACAGCCATGATTTTCTCAGGTCCTCTTCCTGACTTCCTTGTCGAGTCCTCCTGCAGTCAAGTCTCATGGTGTCATTCACCCCTCCTCCAGGGTGACTATCACAATTGACATTTCATGTTGTTCTGTATGAGCATTTAATTAATGTCTGCTCCCTCAGTGGATGATGAGTTCCGCAAGGGCAGGCAGGACCTGTGTGGCTGTTTTTCGCTCACTCTGATATACTCATCATTTAGCATGACGCTCAAAACATACTAAATGATGGCAGGCACCCTATGATGTGTTGAGCGGCGGCTGGCTGAAAGAAGGATCCAAAGAAGGGAGACATGCTCGACCTCAGCCTGGAAGCTGAAGTCCCCTTTTAGATTCTGATATGCATTGTTAGGGCTTTGTAATTGGGAACAATATCCTTTCTCGCCTTGCCCTCTCATTGAAGGATGGAAGAGAAATAGACCTTTGGATGAGGTCAAGGACATACTTCAGGGGCTTGGGTAGCAACTGTGTCAACTGTGTGAGGCCCCTGAGGCAGCAGGTGTCAGGTGTCAGGCCTGTGTGTCATCCTCCGGTCCAGCTTGCCCTTCCTCCCCCGGACCGTCACGAACAGGACTCCAGCTCAGTCCCAGGAAGGTGGGGTCTGTTCAGAACTGAGGCAGAGCAGAGCGCAGGCCAGTTCCTGCCTTGAGGGAGAAGAGAGCTGGTCTGTGTTTCTCCACTGGGTGTCCCTGCTGCCCTGCTTCTCCCTCAGGCAAGGCTCTGAGAGGTGGCGAGGGACGAAGCAAAGGAGGCTCCTCCCTCCCCCTGCTGGGGAACAGGGAAGACATCACCTGGCCAGTCCAGAGGATGCTGGCTGGGAGCCCAGTGTGGCTTCTAGTCTTCAAGTGCTACTTGCCATGCAGCCGTCCCCGCTTGACCTCAGGGGTGAGATCACGGGGAGGCAAGCTCTCTGACGGAGTGCTGTGCTTGAAGCTCTTCCCTGCGCCAGGACCGTCGCAGTTCTAGCACATTCTCTGCAGACATCTGAGCTGGGAGGTGGGCATGAGCAGTTCCGAGGAGTGCTAGGGCCCACAGGGGTGGCGCTGGCTGCTGGGTGCTCAGTGTGCCCAGCCTTTGGAGCTTGCAGCTCCTCAGGTCTGGGGCCCTTACACGGAGCCACCACCGCAGAGCTGCTCCTCGGCACCTACTCCTGAAGGAAGCCCGCAGTGAAGATGATGAGCCAGCCAGGATGATGGCACCGCCAAGGAGAGGGGCGTCTGCTGCTCCATGGAAGCCATCCTTGAAGGGCTCAGGAATTACTGGGACCAAGAATCCAGGAGAGGGCTGAGGGGTGGCTCCCTTGCTTCCCATGTACAGGCGTGCTGTGTGCTCACCCTCTGGGGCTCCCCGGGGGACAGGTCAGCGCTAACCCTGTTAGCTGACATCCCACTCAGCACCAGAGGTAAGCCCAGAGCCCGGAGAGTGCCTGAGTCTGTCTTGACAATGTCGGAGCAGAAAGCGGGAGGGCAGAGGTCTGGGCACTGAGGTTCTTCAGACCAACTCAGGACCTTGCTGGAATTAAGAGAACTAATACCAAAAGAACAGCTCTCCATTACTGCAGGAAACGTGTTTCTGGGAGGAAAGCCCCAGGAGGGATTCTATCACAGAGCACCCTGGGCAATCTCAGGAAAGTCACCGGACAGCTCCCACTGTCCCCAAGCTGGAATGTCATTCTCTTTCCTCTTCCCTTGGCCAGGCCTGCAGGTGAGCAGAGCAACTCCCCTACCTCTGTGCCAGGAAACAACCCTGGAGGAAAGTGTGTCCTAAAATGTAAAACCCATAAAAGTGCCATCCCCTAGGACCGTGATGTGGTTTCACCCCAAAGAACCATCCTTTGAATTGTGCTGTGAGCCGCACAGGGTGACCCGGGGGAGAGCAGGTGTTTGCCTCCCAAACCTTCAGCACCACTGCCTCCTAGTTCTGACCTTCACAGGCCCCTCCTGGTCTCTCTAGCCTACCCCTTTATAAAGCCCTCCCGGACAGGCGAGATCCGACCAAACGTGCAGCCTCCCCACTGGACGTTTCTCTTAGTTCCCTCCAAAAACCATGCTTGTCGGATTCAAGTTATCACTTTTCTTCTTTAATTGTTGAGTGCCTTATCTGGGTTCCTAGAGTGGTCATTGGCCTGGGAACACATTTTAAGCTCATTATTGAGGCCTAGTGACAGTTCTGATGCCAGGCCAGTCATCTTTCAGTGTTCAGGAGCAGGGTGCTCTGTTGCATTAAAGCAGCTGGCTTGGGGTTCAGGAGATAATGGGGCCAGGGCTTCACCAGGGGCGGGATACCTTCGGAAGGATGGTGGCTGCCACTTCTGAGGGAAGATGAGGGCTGAGCTAGAGCTCAGTCAGGAGGCTCTGATCACCAAGGGTTGTCCTGCCTGGGTCCTGGCTTATTCCCATGCTTTTGCCTGTGACTTGATCATTTTATGCCAAGACAATCACTTCTAGTTCCCAAGACTTTTAAGCCTGCACTTCCACTTACACAGTGTATGATTTAAACCCCAAATTTAACATGACTACAAAAAACACCTACAGCTGAACCTAGTATTATGTGCCTTTTGATTTCCACGTGTCCTGCTCCACCATTTCAAATTCATCATTTTCCCCTCACCCTTGATCTCCAAACACCCAAGCACAGCACCCACCAAAGAACCCGTGGCCAGTGAGGGGTGACCTAGTAGTGAAGTCACTTATACCAGACTGTCTCAGAAGTGTGCTTGACCACCAGGTACAAAAGACCTGGGTTAATCTATGCTTCTCTCTGAGGAGCTGTGTTACCCTCTGCAGTGGAGATGAGATTCCTAAAGCTTCAGAGAAAAGCCAGCCCTGTACCTCCCCTTGTGGTAATGACAGCAGCATCTCCTGCCTAGGGAGGTCTGCCCAGTGAGTGGTCAGCCTCGTGTTGTCAGTCCTGGGCTCAGGCAGAGGAAACCAGGACTGGCCTCCTGTTTTGTAGCCGGAACCTTGGGCAGCAGAAGGGGAGGCGCTGAAGTCCACCTCTTTCTGGATGGACACCTGGCCCAAGAGTTCAGAGTCACAAGTTAGCGACTGAGACATGCTGAATAAGCTTGGATTATAGGTCCAGTCCAGAACAGGCACGGATGGAGTACCTCTGTGTATGCTGGGTTCTGTGATAGGGGGTGGTGAGCAATGGGGCTCAGAGGAGCCAAATCTTGAAGGACATCAGAGGCCATGCTAAGAATTCGTTTTACTGTTTTCTCAGCACAAGTCAGGAAGTTTTAAAAGGGGAATGACATGCAGAAGAAGAGGAGGAGGATGTGAAACCCCTAATTACACCTGGAAAGCCCCTGGAAGTGGTAGCAAGGTTCTACTGACAAAAAGTAAGACTTGCTCTGCTGCTGCTGATGATGATAAAGGTGATGATTTTGATGATAAGGAAGCTGAAGAAAAAGTTTCGGTAAAGAAATCTTTATGAGATACTCCAGCCAAAAATTCACAAACATCAAACCAGAATGGAAAAGACACAAAAAAGATCAATACCAAGATCAAAAGGTCAAGAATCCTTAAAAAGAAAAAAACAGGAAAAAACTCCTAAAACACTGAAAATACCTAGTTCTGAAGAAGACATTAAAGCAAAAATGCAAACAAGTATAGAAAAAGGTGGGTCTTTCCTCAAAGTAGAAGCCAGTTTGTCAGTTTTGAATAGAATTACTCCCAGATAACTAGCCAGGAGACTAGTCAAGATCTCTGGCAGTGGAGGAAACATTTTTAAGAAAATAGTTTAAATGGTTTGTTAATTCAAAAAAAATCTTATTTCATTTCTGTAACAGTTGATACCTGGCTCTCCTTGTTATAATGCAGAGTGAGGACTTTCCCTACCATGTCTAATAAATATTGTCCAAGTTCCATTGCCAAGATTGTGTTGTCCAAAATGCTGTTTAGTTTTTAAAGATGGAGTTCCACACTTTGCTCGGTTTTAAGTATATATGGAATGTTATGATGGGCATAGTGTTAGTGGTGGTCAGACAAATGGAAGTGGTGAGGAGACAAAAATATGCATGTGAAATAAACTCAGTACTAGAAATAAAAGCAAGGGGAATGACATGACTGGGTCTCTGTTCTAAGAGTTTATCCAGACTGCTGTGCATAAAATCATAAGGAGGCTGATGCAGTGGAAAGAGGAGCAATGAAGCTGGTTTAGATGAAGTGAAAATATTTGCTGCCATTAGAGAGAATTAGACACACATGGGATATATTTAGGAGATGAATTTGGCAGAACTTGGTAAGAATTGCACATGGTGGACCAAGACACTGTGGCCTAGGTGTTTAGCGGATGTTGGTGTCACTCACTGAGATTAGGAGCTTGCACCAAGTACATTCCCTCCCTCTCTGGACCTTAGCTTCTTCTAGCTTTCATAATCTAAAATTCTACTGCCCAGAAAGTATATTTCTGGGCAAGAAGGTAGAGGCAAAAAAGGGGAAGGAATGTTTATATTAATGGGCTTAAAAGTCAGCCTTTAAATATCTTGCCAGGCTGGCATTCAGCAGAGGACTGAGGATACCTGGGTCTTGGTCAGAGCTGGGCAGAAACTACCCATCATGGCCACATTATGTTCTTCTCAGGAGAAGCATCTTTTTTTTTTAATGGGATCCTGCTATCTACATTTTATTTATTTTTAATTAACGTATGGTTGATATACAATATTATATTGGTTTCAGGTGTACAACACAGTGATTTGACAATTGCATGCATTACTAAATGCTTACCATAAGTATGTAGTTACCATCTATCAACATACAAAGATGTTACAGTTTAATTGACTGTATTTCCCAGGGTGTACTTCCATCCCCATGACTAATTTACTTTATAATTGGATGTTTGTACCTCTTTATCCCCTTCACCTATTTTTCCCATCCTTCAGCCCCCTCCCCTATGGCAACCACCAGTCTGTTCACAGTGTTTTTGAGTCTACTTCTGTTTTATATGTTCATTTTGTTTTTTAGACTTTGCGTGTAAGTGAAATCATATAGTATTTGTCTTTCTCTGACTGATTTCACTCAGAGTATCTTCTAGGTCCATCCATTGTCACAAATGGCAAGATTTCATTCTTTTTTATGGCTAAGTAATATTCCATTCTATATATGTACCACACCTTTCTCCATTCATCTATCAGTGGACACTTAGGTTGCTTCCATATCTTGGCTATTATAACTAATGCTGCAATAAACATAGGAGTGTATATATCTTTTGGAATTAGTGATTTCGTTTTCTTTGGGTAAATTCCCAAAAGTGGAATTACTGGGTCATATGGTATTTCTATTTTTAGTTTATTGAGAAACCTCCATTCTGCTTTCCATAGTGGCTATACTAATCTACATTCCTGCCAATAGTGTACAAGGGTCCCCTTTCTCCACATCTTTACCAACAATGTTATTTCTTTTCTTGTTGATATTAGCTATTCTAACTGGTATAAGATGATACCTTGTTGTAGCTTTGATTTGCATTTCCCTGATGATTAGGGATATTGAGTATCTTTTCATGTGTCTGTTGGCCATCTGTGTGTCTTCTTCTGAAAAATGTCTATTCATATCCTCTGATCATTTTTTAAACTGCTTATTTGCCTTTTTTTGGGTGCTTAGTTGTATGTGTTCTTTATATATTTTGTATATTAGCCCTTTGTTGGATACAGAATTTGCAAATATCTTCTCCTATCCAGTAGGTTGCCTTATCATTGTGTTGATGGTTTCCTTTACTGTGAAGAAGCTTTTTAGTTTGATGTAGTCTCACTTGTTTATTTCTGCTTTTGTTTCCCTTGCCTGGGGAGACATATCCAGAAAAAAATCACTAGCGCTGATGTTTAAGAGTTTATTGCCTATGTTTTCTTCTAGGAGTTTTATAGTTTCAGTTGTTATATTTGGGCCTTTAATACATTTCAAGTTTATTTTTGTGGTTGATGTAAGACTGTGGTCCAATGTGATTCTCTTGCATACGGCTGTCCAGTTTTCCCAGCACCATTTATTGAAAAGACTGTCTTCCCATTGTATATTCTTGCTTCCTTTGTCATATAATAATTGACCATATATGTGTGGGTTTATTTCTGGGCTCTCTTTTCTGCTTTCAGGAGAAGCATCTTTAATATGAAGCCCAAGTTCCATTGCTAATCAGCTCCCTTAGAAGGGATCCAAGAGAGGATGGATACTGCATGCAAGAAGTATTTAGGTCAAATTCCTATTAAGAGGAATTGAGTGAAGAAAGGGCCAGAGGCAAAAACCACTCTTCTCCTATAAAGCCAATCACAAGGGAATTCCACACATGCCAGATTGCCTTAGTCTGTTTGGGCTGTTTTATGCCACAGTCTGGGTAGAGTTAACAACAAACATTTATTTCTTACAGTTCTGGAGGCTGAAAAGCCCAAGATCAAGGCGTCGGCAGATTCAGTGTCTGGTGAGGACACGCTTCCTGATTCATAGACAGCTGTCTTCTCGTAGTGTCCTCATGCGGCAGAAGGGGTGAGAGTGCTCCCTGAGTTTCTTTTATGAGAGCATTCATTCCAGATATGAGAGCTCCACCCTTTTGACTTAATCGCCTCCTAAAAGCCCCACCTCAAAATGCCATCACATTGGGCCTTAGGATACATATGAATTTAGGAGGACACAAACATTCAGATCTTACAAGGTCTCCAGCCCTGGGCTCCCACATCTTCCAGCTGTAGCTGGTTCACAAAGGGGAGCCGGTGCTCACACTAGAGTGGGGCAGATGTGCAAGGGCTTGGAGGGTCCTCAGCCCTGAGCTCCCACCCCCTCTGCTGTAGCCGAGCCCTGGGGAGCAGAGGACTGTGAATGGAGCCCAGTGCCAGGACACCACCAGTGGGAGGAAAGCACTGGGGACGGTGCAGTGAGGGGCCAACTGGGGGCGCCCTCCGTGATAACTGGCTCCACTTGGGCATGTGATGGAGGTGCCATGAGGGAGGACAAACACTAATTCTGCTTCATCCGTGACTCACACAGCCACAGCTGCTACTGCTGGAGAAATTTTCTGTTGATGCAGAGGCTCAGTCCTCTTTTCTCCTTAAGTTGTCCATAACAGGTATTAATTTCAATAAAAAAATGCAGGTGGGCAAAAAGTTAAAAATGTTCATTTTATTGTGACCCTGCATTTTACTGAGATGGTGGATGTTCAGACTCCCAGCCAGAGTCCTCCCCCGATCCAGGAGTTTGCGGCTAAATTCAGGAACACCTGGGGAGTGCCAAGGCTTCCGGAGGCCCTATCTGGCCCTGGGTCTCCTGTACCAGCAGGTGTCCCCGGAGCTGTCTATTGTCTGTCTGGTCCACGTTGTCCAGTTGATGGATGTGCCCACTGACAAGGTCCTTGACCTTTCAGGCCCATCACCCACTTTGACCACCTCTGAGTCTCTGGTTCTTTGGCTCAGGAATCAGTAAGCTGCTTTGGAGTCCTGAGGCGGCATCTGTCAACCTGCCACCTGGACCTGTCATATAGATGGTCCCTCTATGGGATCTCTGGCCTCTTCCCCCAGGAAATGGGGCACAGCCAGCAATTGGAGGCCCCTCCCCCCAATGCCCTTGCTCTCTCCATTTCCTTTCACTTTTGACCCCCTAACTGCCTGCAGGGTGAGCTCCCTGCCTCTATAAATGGTGATCTCTTTCTTTGCCTGAGGAACCTAGCACTACTATTATTATTTCCAAAACGTTATTCTTTCGCAGTGTCTTCCTAATGCATCTCTGTGTCCCCACAAAGAAGAGGGCACTGGGCTCTTCCCACAGGAACTGAGCCTGGCTCCGCGGGTGAGACCCTCCTCAGGGTCTCTGAGGGCCAGCTGGCTGACAATGGCAGCTGATCTTGCCTCTCAAGCACACCTGTCAGGCCTCCCCTGGTTTCCCAGATCCTCTGGTGGCAGGATGTCATGGGTTGCCAAGAAGGGCTCTGGAATATTGTCCTCTGGGTATGTGGGTCACGAGATGACACAAGAAGGCTGCCGACTGGTGTTCGGGTGAGAGGTCAGAAGGGGCATTCCATCAGACAGCTTCAAGGTGATGGGGTCTGTGCAACCAGCACCTCTCATACCACAGGTGTCTCTGCAAGAGCATCCCTCTGACTTGTACTGGCCTCTGCCCATCCAGCCTGCTGTAGCCCTGCCCTCCCGTCTGAGCTGCAGTGATTGGGTCTGGGGCAGCGGAGTGCTCTGTAAGGAGGAGCTGGAATTATAAAGACACCAAAGCTGGCTGCAGGAGCTGTCCCTGCTGAGAAGGGATGGCTTAGAGCAACAGTTAAATCTTGGCACCTGTTTTCTAACTTTGGAATCTGCCTGATTATACTAAAGTGGTGGTTTTCAACCTTATTCTCCATAAGCTGCTTTTAGATTCTGGTTCCACAGTTGGCAGCCCCCAGGTCAGCCACCCCACCCAGGTGTCCAGCTCTGGCTTCGGGACCCCACCTGGACATTCTTCGCTGGGACCTGCTTGTCCAGTAGAAGGGGTTGGACATGGAGAGATGGAGACAAGCTGAAGGGTTAACAGAAGCATTTAGTTACACAAAAGAGAAAAGATTATAAACAGCAAATTGCCTGTTATGACTGTTCCTGATAAGCAGCCAGGGAATATGCCTGCGATCTGGGAAGACTGAACTCAAAGTAGTCCGAGTAGTATGTTGAGCTCTGGAAGTGAAAAACAAAGACTGGTATCAATTGAAGAGGAGAAAATACCGATTTAAACAAAGTGCTTAGTTATACCTTGTTTAAATTCATTTATTTAAATCATACATACATGGTGTAACTGGAATTATACACTGAAGACTTTTTAAATTGAGTATTTTGGGTTTCTTTTTTAAACATACTGTTTGGACTGGTATGCTAGAGCAGCAATCAGAGAACTTTTCCCGTAATGGGCCAGGCAGTCAAGTGTTTTCGGTTTTGTGGGCCTGGCATGATTCAGCTCTACCGCTGTAACTCACAAGCAGCTGTAGGAAAGGTGTAAACAAATGGGTGCGGAGGTGCGCTGGTAACGCTATGCAAACATGCAGCGGGCCAGATTCAGCCTATGAGTCAGAGTTTGCCAATAGCTGTCTTAGCAACTGAGATTCAGGTAAGCTTGAGTATGGGAATTATTTAAACCTTGCAGTCCTAGATCGAGAGCTCACCTTAACTTGAGACAGCTTTCCCCAGCTGTACATATCAGAATATGAAGTAAATAATTTTGCAAATCCAAACCTAAAATTCTACAATTCTGGTTTCTGGTGAAACAAGGCAGGGCTCGAGAAAGATACAGAAAGCTGATGTTGATCTCTTGACCTCTCAGATCAAGAGTATATGACATTAGGTATTCATTTGAATGAAGCCTCTGACAGACAAGTGGCCTTTAAATTGTTTCCCCAATATTCTCTTGGATTGCTTTTTGCTGTATTTTAAACAGTTAATTCTGTTGTGTCAAAGTATGTTGAGGTCATTAGCATTAGGATCAATGTTTCAGTTATTTTTAATGCTCTTTTTTCTTTCTTTCTTTGTGTTTTTTGAATGTTAGAACATCTCAGCAAAATAAATTCCAGGTGATTGTTGGACAACATTGTTTCACATATACATCAAAAATGCCAAAAAAAAAAAAAATGGCAACTTCATTGACAAAAAAAGGGGAAAAAAAAGAAACCTTTTATTGTTGGCCTTCTTAACCATCTCACACAAACCAACTACTTACAGTACAGCTAAGTACATACACAAGAAAAGTTACTGGAATGTTTGGAATAAGATTTTTTGTTGTTGTTTTGCCTTTTTTATGAATATATTCTCCCATACTGTAGGATGCCTTTTTGTTCTGCTGATGGTGTCCTTTGCTGTACAGAAGCTTTCAGCTTGATATAGTCCCACTTGTTCATTTTTGCTTTTGTTTCCCTTGCCCGGGGAGATGTGCTCAGGAAAAAACTGCTCATGTTTATATTCAAGAGATTTTTGCCTATGTTTTCTTCTAAGAGTTTTATGGTTTCATGACTTACATTCAGGGCTTTTGTCCATTTCGAGTTTGCTTTTGTATATGGAGTTAGACAGTAATCCAGTTTCATTCCCTTGCATGTAGCCGTCCAGTTTTGCCAACACCAGCTGTTGAAGAGGCTGTCATTTCCCTAGTGTATATCCATGACTCCTTTATCATATATTAATTGGCCATATGTGTGTGAGTTTATATCTGGACTCCCTATTCTGCTCCACTGGTCTGTGGGTCTGTTCTTGTGCCAGTACCAACTTGTCTTGGTTACTGTGGCTTTGCAATAGAGCTTGAAGTCAAGGAGCATAATCCTCCCAGCTTTCTTCTTTCTCAGGATTGTTTTGGCTATTCAGGATCTTTTGTGATTCCATACCACTTTGAGAACTACTTGTTCTGGTTCATTGAAAACTGCTGTAGGTATTTTGATAGGGATTGCATTGAATCTGTAAATTGCTTTGGGCAGGATGGCTGTTTTGACAATATTAATTCTTCCGAGACTTCATATTCTTAGAGCAAATTCCTCCCATTGCTTGAGATAATTACTAGAACTAGATTTTTGTAACTCACAACACCAGGATTATAAATAATCACATGCAGATGTGTTGGGCATGTATTGCAAACCACAAGCTGGTGTGTTCATAGGATGGCAAGATGATTCCAGCTGGGGAGGGAGGGTGAGGCCCCCACTGGGGTAGCTCAGGCTGTGGGAGAGTTGTGGGATACCACAGAAGCTTTAGGGTAAGAGATGGCAGAAGCCAGGCCGGACCAGTGATGAGTGGATGCACCACAGTGAAGTTGGAAGTGGGACACCACAGACAGCAGCAGTGACCACAGGCCACAGAATGATTGTAGAAAGGACTAGTATAGGGAGCTGTGTGAGACAGAGGGTGAGGACTTGCTGAAGAACAAGGAATGTTCTGAAACACACTGTACAGGCAGCCAAACAAAGTGGGTAATGCGAGTCCATCTTTCTGCTCTACTTCAGTTGTGTAGCTAACCCTGCACCATATTACCTCACGCTACAGGGCAGGTTAGTTGTATGCATGCCTCAGCCATCAGTGAGATGCAAAGCCAGGAAAGGCAGGACCTTCAGTGTGGGGAGGGTGGGATCTTTGAGAAGTCCCCTCTTCCATGTTACCTCAAAAGGTGACAGGGAAAAGAGATGCCCAGTGTGAGCCCAGCTCTGCCCCTCGCCCCTCCCTCTGACCCATACCAGCCAGGACTTCCAGTAGCAATGAAACTTGTGCTGTGAAACCCAGGTGAATGTTCCTTTGTCCTCACCTCATAACTTGCCCAGCCCAGCTAGCTGCACAATTAATGCATTCAGGGGAACCCAACAGACACGAGTGTCCATGCCCTCGTGATGCCAACCAGCCTCACTCTCACTTCTGAGATGAACTTGGGGCCTCCGGGCACCGTTTCTGGAGGACCCACAATGCCTGCTCTCTGGGCCTCATCCTCCCTCGCCCTTTGCATCTTCAGGCCCAGAAGGTTTGCATGTCTCCACGTGGCATCTCCTTGCCCCCTCAAGCTGGGGAACAAGACTGGGTTTGAATCTCAGCTCCTGTGTGTGTGTGAACCCTGGGCAGATAGCCTCATCCATCAACATGTGAATTTCTTAATTGGTAAAATAAGGATGTGAATGATAGTTTGTTTTAATAAGATAACAAAAAAGTATAGCACAGTGTACATAGTTAAGGACACACTGACAGTCGGCTGCGTAATGGACTTCGGCTCTCTTCTAACCTTGGCCTTTCTGTCCCAGCCTCAATCAGGTCTGCTCACCCCCTTGTGAAACATCCCATTGCTGGGTTCTTCAGGTCTTCCGCTTGGACCAACTCCCACGACAGCTATGTGCGTCCTGCCAAGTATTTCTCAAAACTCATGTCCCAGTGCCACCCATTCCAGAACATGCCATCATCATGAGTAGCTGGTACTTTGCTTGCTCTGGACTTCATGGAATATATCAAGAGCTTTTGAGGTGGGCCTTACGCAAAATAAGGGACTATGACTTCCTGGACTGCTCTCTCAAACAGGTGGGTTATTAGATGTTTCTGGGTCTGAGGGAGACAAGCACCCAAGCTTTAGAAGCTTTTTTTTCTTAGATCCTCACCTGAGGCCTTTACTCCACCAATGAGCCATAGTAGCTGCTCCCAGGTCAAGGGTAATACCTTTTCTCTCATGAATGACCATTCATGCATCTCAGGAGCTGGATGGGCTATTTCTGCAATGCTTTCCATTCTGGCTCAACCAGCCACTAAGAAATTCTAAGCCTTAGAAAACTGAAAAGCCTGTGTGCTCAGCCTCACTCACCTCATCCCCTGATCCCTCGATCTTGGTTTCCAGGAAGAGCTCTCAAGCCACACCCTGGTGGGCCGAACCCTGATTTGTTTCCTGGATGCCATGAGGGATTATTAACTTCTCTGCAAACACTCGTTGCACCTTGGTTCCCTGCAGTGAGTGGCAAGGGCTGGGGAGGGGTCTGCTGCAGGCCAGCAGGCAGGGCTTGGGGGCAGCCCTCTCCCCAGAGCCAGCCCAGGCTCCCTGTCTTGCTGTCTTTCAGTATCTTGGCAGATGTTGAGAAGTCAATCTTCCTCTGCTGGAGCAGCTTCACCTCTTTTTCATCCTGAGAGGAGGCTGAAAGGAGAAGACTCCCAGTCGCCATGACCTCTGCCGTCACCAGCCGTGAGCACCTGGACCCCTCGGTGAGTGTCGGTAGAGGGAGAGGGGGCGGTGAGGGCGGGCCAGCATGGAGCCCAGCACCCTGATTCATTATGGGAGCCGGGGACAATGGCTCCCATTGTAGGCAGAAGTTTAGTTTATTAGACAGGGGTCCTGCCCCTCTGGCCTCCCAATCACCAGAGGCACCCAGATGCTTCCCTGACTGCTAAACTCTGAATAAATTATGAAAGGAATGAAGAAGAGTTGGAAACTCCTTTCTGTTTTGCCTTCACTCATGGTTAGTTTCTGCTAAATCTGCATGTCTGTTTTCCAGATTTCCCAGCATTATGACTTCTTTGATCAAAAGCCCTTTTTGAAGTAGAGCAAAGTGGGAGAGAGGGAGGCGACAGGGAACTAACAGTATGTCCTGCCCTGTATTACGGAGCAGCCAGTATGTCCAGGCACTTCATGCACTTCATTTCCTTCCTTCCAAGCCATGAAGCAGGCACTTCTCTTCCCATTTTACACACGAGGTACCTGAGGCCCAGGGGCGTGAAGTCACAGGAACCTGTCTGGAAGCCCTCCAGCTGGGCCTTGAGCCCTCCACCTCTCTGACCTGTTTTGATCACCTCAGAGGAGCAGGTGCACTGAGAGGGACTGTCCGTTCCTGACAATGTCCACCACCATGGGTGGGAGGCGCTGTTCGGCACCAGGCCAGGGCTGCAGCCCTGATGGGGCCCAGCCAAGGTGTCTGTGGGACTGGGCTCGGCTCTCAGCACTGTGCTCTGGAGCCAGACTGCCAGACTGCCCACTTTCCTAGAAAATTGTGGGAGACACCTGCGAGAACAGTCCTGTCTTCTCAGAATTCTTTCTGCCACTATCTCATGGAAGCAAAATAAGGAAACAAAAAACAAAAAACAAAAACCTTGGGAAATAAATGAAAGACTCCCTTTTCTGAAGGCTGTGATGCATCCACATTTCTGGCTTGCCTGAGGCCAGTTGGGGAGTGGAGGGGTCTGGGCCTGTACCCACCTCCTCTTCAGTGGCCTGTCTTCTCTTCCTTTTCCTCCAAGCCTCGGTATCAGATCAAGAAGTCACTTTTCTAAGGTGTTTTTGGTTTCCCCATGCATATTGCTCTGTGGAAGCCATTAGGGCTAAAAAACACAAGGAAGGCACCTTCCTGACCCTGAAAGCTTATGGCCTAGTTAGGGGAGAGTGGGGTGCCTCCCAAATATTTCTGATACAAGGAAGAAAATGATAAGTTACATAACAGAAGAGACAAAGTGTGCTGGGAGTACAAGGGAGAAAATTGCAAGGGGGTGCTCAGCAGAGGTGATGGAGTGGGAGGCGCCAGGCTCTTCAGAGCGGGTGTGGGTAGGGGAAGCAGAGGGTCGATGGGAAGCACAGGGTGAGCAAAGGAACGGGGGCAGGATAACTGAGGCCCTATTTGGAGAAATCTGGACAATCCCAGTGGCCAAAGCCAGGTGAATGGGGGTGTCAGGAAATGAGCCTAGAGGGTCAGGTTGGGGGGACAGAAGGCTGTGCATGGTACAGATGGAGCAGAGGGCAAGGGATTAGTCCTCCCCTCAGGAGCTCCCCCTTCACATCGCCTTTCTCCTCGCACCAATCCCCTCTCTGCTTGGCTTGCCTGCTGCGGAGAGCTGGAGGGCTGTCCCTGTGTGCACGGGGACACACCTGTGGGCCACTGCCCTCAATACCTGAAAGGAAGGGTTCCATTCCATGTTTGCAATTGGACCTTGGATGAGCCATGGGCCCTCACTGAGCCTCAGTCTCCTCCTCTATACATTGGGGTGATCAGATGGTAAAGAGGCAATGAGAGGATGCACCGGATCTCCTTGCAAGCTGCAAAGCACCGAGAAGTGCCCAGCTCACCAGAATGCCTCGTTTGATCAAGTCTTACAGTGAATTTTGGCTCATGCACTGAGCTGATAGACCCCTGCACCCAGGCGAGCCTGTGGACTCTCTTCTCTTACCAGTGCTCACTGGCAGGGGGCATTTCCTTAAGAATTCACTCCTCCACAGGCTTTCTTCTGCTGCTGTATGAGTCACCCACAAACTTCTCTGCACAGGGGATTCTCCTGGGATAGAAGCCTTCCCCATATTTGGATGCACCCTGGGATGGGGCATCTTCCACCTCCATCAGAGTAGGCCTGCTCTAAAATATCTTTGGAATGTCACTTGTTTCCATGTATATCTTTAATACTGATTTGAGTCATTTGAATCTGACCCATAGGAAATTTCACACACTGTGTATCTGCCTGTTTTTTGCCCCATCTCATTACATAGGAGATATGAGGCAGTTCACAAAAAAAGACATTTTGATCAGGCTATGTGCCTTCTACCACCCACCCCCAGCTGGTGGGCTTCACAGAAGTCACATACTCTTCTTGGAAGGGAAGAACCAGCCGTTCTTAAGGAAGACAAGTTATCCCCAGCTCTAAATTCTAAAAAAATTATATTCATGTGGGGCATTATGCAGGGTCAGTTTGCCAGACCTCTGTTTCAAAACAGATGCAGAAATGGTTTCCAGAACCTTCAGGTGGTCTAAGGTGGTATCAAGACAGAACTTAGAATATTCAGAGGTCATCAGACTGGGAACAGTCTTTGTCTCTGGCTCCTGTCCTAATAGGAAAAAAGATGAGAAGGTCCAGAACCACCAGGCCCCCCAGTCAGTGATTCCCTCCCCTTCACCTTCCTGAGAATTCCGGGGGGCCCTGGGAGAGGGGCCCAGGTGAGCTGCTTGGTGGAGCACACAGCTGCAGCCCTGTGAGCTCATCTGTGAGATTGCACAACAGGATGCCACACACACTGTGCCCACTGGGTCCTAGAGTGTCCTCACATCTGTCCCAGATTTGCAGGGGGAGACAGGCCGGAGAGATGGAGTGGTGTGCCTCTGCCGGCCGAGCGGGGAGTGACAGACCACACCTGCCTCCTTCCAAGAGCACGCTGTCCTCTCGGCACCCACCCGGAATCAGTCCCCTGGCCCACCACCCGGTCAGTCCATCAGTCAGCCTCTCCGTCTCCTGCCCCTTGCAGCCTGGTTTCCCTCTGTACCCCCACTGATTCCTCCAGGCATTTCCCAAAGCCCAGGGTCCCCTCAGCAGCCTCCAGCCTATTGCTTAGTTAGGCACAGATGGCTTCTTTCATGTGTTACCCAAGTACCGGGCACCATCACTACACCTTCCCTTTCAGAAGTCTAAACAGAATAAGCATGATGTTTCAGAGAGTTAGTTAGTTAGTTAGTTAGTTGGTTGTTAGTTAGTTAATCAATAAGCAGAAGCAAAATTCACATTTATGTTTTAGGACCTAAATGTTAGAACGTTAATGAGTATATGCTATTTAGAACCCCAGGAACAAAGTGACTCAGAGCTGCGTTGCCCTGGGCCCACCCCCAGCAAGCTTGACTGGGGCCTGCAGCCCCTCTGCTGGGAGGCCCAACCCACCGTGCCGCTCTCTCTGCAGCCAGGATGGGCACATTTGGGGAGGGAATTAGGCTCTGTGTTTGCCGGGGCTCTAACCCCACGGAGGAGGAGGATGGGCCTCTTTCTCCACAACGGAGATGGCACAGTCTACGCCCGCCATGACAGGTGTTAGGGCTGCACCTACTTAGGGCTCCCTGATGGGATCCCCATTTACCCGACTGTCTGAGAGGGACACCTGCCCCTGTTCGGGCCCACCTCTCTTCCTCCACAGAGCTGCGTTTCTGCCAGGGCTTCAACAAGGCACCCACTCCCCTTGAGTGGCCCCCGCCTTCACCTGCAGGTCCTGCTGCAGGTAGAAAATCACTCATCTTTTGAGTCTGGACCTAGAAGTTCCAAGCTGGCCAGTGGTGGTCCCCGAGGCCTCTGGAAGGCCAGCCCTCTGTGTGGTTGAATCAGGAAGTCCACTGATTGCTCTTAAAATGCCCAGTTGTGTCCTTCTCTTGTTCCCAGCAGAGGGGTGATGGCGATGGCCGGAAGGAGGACGGGCAGCCCAGGACTCCCAGCAGCAGCCACTTGGCCTATGGCATCCTGGACATCCCACCATGGTATCTCTGCATCTTCTTGGGGATCCAGGTAACATCACCCGGCAAGCGTTGGGTCCAAAGAGGCTGTGCCTCAAAAGCCAGGTCAACACACACCAGCTCAAATTAGTCAAGATCCCCGACTTCAGTTGCCCGTGTTCTTGTCTTCCATGTAGACAAGGAGGACCCCAGGGGGTCCTTGTCTTTCTTTCTCTCCAGGAGTTTGGGGTGGGGTCAGTGGACCAGGGGAACTAATAGGTCACATCAAGGACACTGACTAGGTTATTATTTTTTTCAAGATCCCAATTTTCATTTATTTGATTGGCAACAACTAAAATGTTTGGTAACCAGTGCTTGGGGAATTTTGAGAAACAGGCAATCTGAAATACTTTTTTTGAAATGTTATTTGCTGCAGCCTTTGTGGATGACTATTTGGTAATTCCTATTAGCATATAAAACACATACACCCTTTAATCAGTGCCAGTGCGTAAGAATTTCTCTGTGGATATGCCTATAAGACTTGTTAAGATAAGCACAAAAATGTTCTTGTAACACTGTTGGTAATAGTAAAATCAAACCATGCCACAAACTAACAAAACCCTAGAAACAACCGAAGTGACCACCCTAGGGAACTGGTTAAATAAACTATGGCCCGTCCTTACAAACAAGTTTTTCATGCTGCTGTTAAAAAGAGAAAGATGTATTTATTTTGCAGTTAGGGAATATTCTCCAAGATATAGCAAGTGAAAAAGCTGTGCATGGGGTGATCTTTTTTGTGTGTTAAAAACAGAGATACAAGATAGAAAGAAGTATATGTAGTAATTTTGTGTTGTGAAGGATTCATAACACACTGATATTTGGTCTTGGAAAGAACTAGGAAAGGGAGAGTGGCTTTCAACTTGCACTTTCTGTTCTGTAATTGTTTTGTAGCATGAATTTTCTAACCTCATAGATGTGTTTCTTTTAATTTTGTAAAGAGGATATCTTTTAATTTTATAAAGATGTTCAATGTGGGGTGTCAGGGATGGGATGTACTTTCTGTTTGCTTGCTGTTGCTTTTCTATACAATGAGAAAGGCAAGTGTCATCCTATTTTAAAAGTATTATGAGCCAATAAAATAGATAATGTAGATCTATTATATTCACTGACTCAGAAAACTTTAAGGATATATTTTTTAATTTAAGAAAGCCCATTGCAATATCATGTTCATAGTTTGATCCCATTTATACAAATTGTGTGTTTGCATCTGGGGGTATTGACCACAGATGTTCAGAAAGATGTTACCAAGGTGAGATGTGGCCGCACATTCTGCTTTGTAATCAACCATTCTGAATTATGTTAATTTTCTCAAAATGAGGATGTATTTATCTCTTTACACAGGGGATAAAACAAAAATTTTACAAACACTTTGACATGTATTTGATAGGTCAGCAAATTAGAAGCTGGAATAGAAATGGGGAAAGGATGAGAAAATGGTCTAAATAAGGTATGCACATTGAGAGGCTGTATATCAGGAAAACCTAAGGTGACCTGAAACTGGGAGATGACATGTAACCAGGATCCAGAAATGGAGATGGAGTGTTCCCTAGGGCAAGGGAAGTATCTGAGTCTGCTAGCTTTAACATAAACAAAAGCAGGTTTGCAGCACTGACCTTGCCATTTAATGAAAAAAATAAACAACCTTTTAAAGGTGTATATCCACAAAAAAATCCCCACGAATTAGGCAGGATGCCATAGCTTAGAACATTTTTACTGCAAGTGATGTCTTCAAATCTCCATACTACTGCAGACATGTTCTTTGGATAAAGTTGAAAATATATGTCATTTTGATAAGTGCAGATGCATACAGGTAGAAATACAGAAAAGCGCTAGAGGAAGGAACACAGAAGAATGGAAGACGAGGAATTGGGGTCCGGATAGAGGAAGTGGTTAAAGGGCCCTAAAGCTTAACTGCTGCATTTCTATATGCTAACAATGGACTGTCTGAAAAATGAATCAAGAAATCAACCCCACTGAAAATAGCATAGAAAAACAATAAAGTACCAAGAAATAAATTTAGCTAAGGAGGTGAAAGATCTATACACTGAAGACTATAAGAAACATTGATGGAAAGAAAACTGAAGACATGAGTAAATGGAATGATATCCCATGTCCCAATGAACTTTTTAAATTTTGTTTTTAAATTTTGTAATTGAAATATAAGTGACATATCATATTATACTAGCTTCAGGTATACAACATAATGACTTGACATATGTGATTATTGCAAAATGATCACCACAGTAAGTCTGGTTAATATCTATCACCATACTGAGCTATCGATTTTTCTTTCCTGTTATAAGAACTTTTAAGATATACTCTCTAAACACCTTTCAAATATACCATAGAGTATTATTACCTATAGTCACTACATCCCCAGGGCTTATTTATATTATAACTGGAAGTTTACACATTTTCATCATCTTAATCCACTCCCCCCCACCTCTGGCAACCACCAATCTGTTTTCTGTATTTATGGGTTTGTTTTTTGTTTTGTTTTTCTTAGATTCCACATGTAAGGAAGATCATATGGTATTTGTCTGACTTATTTCACTTAACATAATGTCCTCAAGGTCCATCCATGTTATCTTAAATGGCAGAATTTCTTTCTTTTTTATAGCAGAACAGTATTCCATTGTACATATATACATTTTCTTCATCCATTCATCCACTGATGGATTCTTAGGTTGTCTCTGCATCTGGGCTGTTGTAAACAATGCTGCAGTGAACATGGAGCGCAGAGATCTCTTTCATACTGTGTTTTCCTTTCCTTCAGATACATACCCACAGGTGGATTGCTAGATCATGCTCTAGTTCTATTTTTAATTTTTCGAGGAACATCCACAGTACTGGCACCAACTTACACTTCCACCAACATTACAAACAGGTTTCCTTTTCTCTACAACCTCACCAACACTTCTTGTCTCTTGTCTTTTTCATGATAGTCATTCTGACAGGTGTTGAGGTGATATCTTGTGGTGGTTTTGGTTTGTATTTACCTGATGAACAGTAATGTTGAGCATCTTTTCATATGTCTGTTGGCCATTTGTATATAGATCTTCTTTGGAAAAATGTCTATTCAAGTCTTTAGTCCATTTTAAAATCAGATTGTTTTATGCTATTAAGCAGTATGGGTTTCCTTATAAATGTTGGATATTAATCCCTTATCAGAGAGATGGTTTGCAAATATCCTCCCCCATTCCATATATTGCCTTTTAATTTTGCAGATTGTTTCTTTTTAATTTGATGTAGTCCTACTTGTTTATTTTTGCTCTAATTGCTTGTGCTTTTGGTGTAATATCTAATAATCTTTGCCAAGACCAATGTTAAGGGGATTTTCCCTTATGTTTTCTTCTGGTAATTTTACTGTTTCAGACCTTACATTTAAGTCTTTAATCCATTTTGAGTTAACTTTTGTGAGTAGTGCAAGATAGGAGTCCAATTTCATTCTTCTCTATGTGGTTATCAAGTTTTCCTAGCACCGTTTATTGAAAAGACTATCCTCTCCCATTGTGGATAGTAGGTTTTTTGGCTTCCTTGTCAAATATCAGTTGACTGTATATGCACAGGTTTATTTGTGGGCTCTTGATTTTCCATTTGTCTATGTGTTTAGTTTATGCTAGTACCATACTGTTTTGATACATAGTCTAGCTTTGTGACAAAGTTTGAAGTAAAGAACTATGATGCTTCCAGCTTTGTTCTTCTTTCTTAGGTTTGCTTTGGCTATTTGGGGCCTTTTGCTGTTGCATACAAACAGTACCATTGTATTTTCTATTTTTGTGAAAAATGTCACTGAAATTTTTATAAGAATGCCAATAAATCTATAGATTGTTTTGGATGATATGAACATCTTAACAATATTAGTTCCTTCTATCCATGAACATGGGATATCTTTCTATTTATTTGTGTCTTCAATTTCTTTCATCAATGTCTTATAGTCTTCAGTGTACAGATCTTTCAGTTCCTTAGTTAAATTTATTCCTTGATATTTTATTGTTTTTTGATGGTATTGTAAATGGGATTGATCTCTTTATTTCTTTTTCAGATAGTTCATTGTTAGTGTATAGAAAAAACAACTTTTTTGTAATTTGATTTTATATCCTGCCACTTTACTGAATTTGTTTTTTGGTTCTAGTAGTTTTCTTGGTGAAATCTTTAGGGTTTTCTATAAAGAAGATTGTATCATCTACAAACAGAGACAGTGTTTCTTCTTCTTTTCTGAATTAGATGCCTTTTATTTCTTTTTCTTGCCTGATTGCTCTGCTAGGACCTCCAGGCTACTATGTTGAATAGGAATAGTGAGAATGGGCTCCCTTGTCTTGTTCCTGATACTAGTGGGAAAACTTTCAACCCTTCAACATTGAGTATGATGTTTGCAGTGGTTTTGTCATATATGGCCTTTATTATGTTGACATATGTTCCTTCTAATCCCAATCTGTTGAGAGTTTTAATCATGGAAGAATGTTGAATTTTATCAAATGCTTTATCTGCATCAATTGAGGTAGTCATATAATTTTTATCTTTCATTTCATTGATGTGGCGTATCACATTTATTGATTTGCAAATGTTGAACCATCTTTGTATCCCAGGGATAAATTCCACTTGATCATGATGTATGATCCGTTTAATGTACTGTTAAATTCAGTTTGCTAATATTTTTTTGAGAATTTTTACATCTATATTCATCATGAATATTGGCCTGTAGTTTTCTTTTCTTATGTCCTTATCTGGCTTTGGTATCAGGATTATGCTGGCCTCATTAAATGAGTTTGGGAATGTCCCTTTCTTTTCAGTGTTTTTGAAGTTTGAGAAGGATTGGTGTTATTTCTTCTTTAAATGTATAGTAGAATTCATCAATGGAGCCATCTGGTCCTGGAATGTTCTTTATCAGGAGATTTTTTATTTCAAATTCAGTCTCCTTACTCATTATTGGTCTGTTGAATTTCCTTATTTATTCATGATTTATTCTTGGTAGGTTGTATGTTTCTAAGAATTTATCTATTTCTTTTAGGTATCCCACTTTGTGTGTAATTATTCATACCACTCTGTTACAATCCTTTGTATTTCAATGGTATTAGAAATACCGTATTTCATTTCTGATTTTATTTGAGTCTGCTTTTTTTTCTTAGTTTAGCTAATGATTTGTCAACTTTGTTTAACTTTTCAAAAAACACCTCTTAGTATCCTTAATTTTTTCTATTGTTTTTCTGGCCTCTATTTCATTTATTTCTGCTCTGATCTTTGTTATTTCCTTCCCTCTGCTAACTAGGTTAGTTTGCTCTTCTTTTTCTATTTCCTTGAGGTGTAAAATTAGGTTGTTTGAAGATCTTTCTTCTTTCTAAATGTAGATATTTATCACTGTAAACTTCCTGCTTAGGACTGCTTTTGCTGCATTCCATAAGTTTTAGTATGTTGTGTTTCCATTTTTGTTTGTCTCAAGATATTTTTTCATTTCTTCTTGACTCATTGGTTCTTCAGGTGTACATTGCTTAAGTTCCACAAATTTTTGAATTTTAAAATTTTCTTCCTGTTATTTGTTTCTACTTTCATACCATTATGGTTTCTACTTTCATACCATACTTGGTACGGTTTCAACCTTAAATTTGCTAAGGCTGATGTGTGACTTAATATATGATCTGTCCCAGAGAATGTGCTTAGGCCTTGCTGAGTATTGGTCTTGCCCTCACTCTGTACCCTGTTTTCATACTGAGCCTCTTGATTTCTTGTTCTTAAAGCCTCCTCCTTGGTTCTGGTTATGTCTTGGTTTCTTACTTGGGATGTAGGTTCCCAGTGCTAGGATCCTTCCCTTGAACTCCAAGCCTCTGGCTAGCTTCCTGCTTCTTGCTGCCAGGACCTCCTAGTTCCCACTGCTTGCCTATATCTCTGCCTGTCGCTTATAGCCAGATCCTATGAGACCAGAGGCCAAGCTCTTTCTTCTGACAGTAGAAGTGGGAATGAGGGAGTATGCAGCCACAGCATCTACATGAATGTCTACTTTCTGCTCTACCCACAGCACTTCCTCACAGCCCTGGGGGGGATTGTGGCAGTGCCACTTATACTGGCCAAGGACCTGTGTCTGCAGCATGACCCTCTAACCCAGAGCTACCTCATCAGCACCATTTTCTTTGTTTCTGGTATCTGCACTCTACTGCAAGTGCTTTTTGGAGTCAGGTAGGTAAAATTCCTTCACATGAGTTCTGACTTTTACCTGACAGGTGTAGCAAGATTTGCTTAGCTTATAGCCAGCGAGATGGTTAGGAAGTGGGTATGACATGATAGAGAGAGCACAGGACTGGGAATCAGAGCCTGGGTTCAAGTCCTAGCTCCAACACTTACTGTCTATATTAGCTAAGATTCTTGATCAAAGAAACACAAATCCAGATTAACTTAGTTAAAATTTTGTTCTTTATTAACTTATAAGATCAAGCCAAGAGAAAGGCAGGGCATATCATGCATCAGGAACATGTTGAACCAGAGACTCAAATGCCTCTGGGGTTTTTGCTATTTCTTTTGTCTCTACTAATATTTGTGAGACACAGGGCAAGAGCACAAATAGAGACCCATACACTCTCTGTCTAAATATTGGAAACCTATAACCAAGCTTAAACACTCTTAAATAAAATATGTTCTAATCATCCTTCTGGGAAGGCCAGCTTTGAATTGAGAATTCCCTAACATCTTGAAGTTCTGCTTTGAAACCTGGTGGCATGGGGAGGGCCAGTCCGCAGCTGGTGACCTTCCCACCTCAAGTTTTGCTCCTGGTCACAAATGGTCTCACATGTGTGAATGTGGATATCTCAAGCTGCATATCCAAGATCCATCTGCCATCACCCCTCACCATATTCCCCAAGAAGCTGACTCTTGGTCATTCTTCAGGTGTAGGGATGTGCATATCTGCATCATGGTCTGCCTTCAGCAGTACAGACCTGGGAAAGAAGTCTAAACAGGCTCTGCAAGATGCTCAGGGCCATTTGGGTAGAGAATTCTTGGGACTCAAAGGGGAAGGATACACAGGGATTCACAGGATTTATTCAGAGTCCCAAGGTGACTCTGCAGACACCTCCCAAGGGGAGGCCAGAGTGGAGTCCTCTAGAGCACCGGGCTAAGTGCCAGGGGCTCTCCTTGCCTAGTCTGAAGACAGGGCTATCTCTTCATTGCTCTGCCAGTGCCTGTGTTCCATTCTTGTGGATAGGCTTCCTGTACTGACTATAGCCAGGCTGCTGGCAGTCCTCACAATGATCTACCCAAAGCACGTGAGTACAGCTCGGCCACTCCCACATTTTGAAATTCCAGGGAAGAGCTCTGACTGGTACAGTGTAAGCCAAATGCCCCGCCCTGACCCACCAGGGCAACAAATACAGCGAACTCTATTCAGGAAATTTCCCAGTGAAGCAGGGAAGAGGAGTTCTGTTCTGCATAGACAGGATAAGAGAGAGTCACTGAACCAGCTGTGTGGTGTAGGTCCTGTAAAATAAGGCCGGTGGTAATGTGTCCTTGCTCCCTTACGGTATCAGTGAAGTGATCAATGTTATAACCAATGGAATCACCACTTTTTCTAAACCATCACATCCATCAGGTTTTTATGTAGCCTCAGTGAAATGAGCCCTATTGCTCTGGAGCTGTTTAGACAAACTGTGAAGCCTGGAAAATGTGTCTTTGGACCTCTTCATTTCCACAAATCCTCTCTTCACAGTCTCAACCACCACTCCCTGTCCCCCACCTTGATTCCCTAAACCCCACCCAGTAGCTTCTTGGGTTACCATCTGCTCAGGAGATTCCTCTCTATGGGTCTTCCAGAACTTTCCTGCTCAGCTCCCTTGCCTCCTATCCGTGAGTCCTGTGTGTTCCTCCTTTAACACTTATTTAGCATCTGGTCCAAGGACAGCACAGGATTTATTCAGTCTGACATTTATAAGTTTATATAACTTTTGATGTCCTCTTTAAGAAAAAGAACACAAAATTATGAATACAAAATTATTTACAAAACAGAACGTTATTAAATTGAAACAAAATCACAAGTCACAAATTTGAAAAAGCAGATAAACACTACAAATTCAAAATTACAGTGTATTTTTCACTATTTTACTCTCTTATACTCCTCTAAAATACTTTCCTCTTACATTATACGACTGTACTTTTGTCTGTTCCTTTTACAAAGAGAAGGGAAGATAATTCTGTTATCCTCCTACAGTGGCTTAGTCCAAACTTGTCACAACTTCTGGTCAGGATGCATTATCATGTCTTCACACACAGACTGTAGTACTGCTATGGCTTTGTGCCATGCAGGGCTGTCAAACACAGGAATTCTACACGATCCCTTTCAAAATCATGTACATAATTCCTTTCAAAGAAATTTCAAATTCACGCTACACTTGTAACTGTATATCCTGTAAATTTTATCCTGGCTCAGCTTCCCCTTAGCCAGATCCTAAAAGTGCTCCTGGCCTTTCAAATGCCATCTGATGCAAGGTTTAGCTTTAGGGAGGCAGCAGTGGAAAGAGATAGTAGTTGTAGCCAAATGTGGCTGAAATATTTTACTTCTGCAAAGTTCACAAAGACACATGGCTGCGAGCACATTGCAGAGGGCCCTCCCTGGACTTTAGAAGGAGCCAGGCAAGTGAGGGGCCCTTCTCTGTAAATCTGCTTTTGACCTAATCAGTGCCAGGCCTGTGCTCAGCCCTGGGGCTGCTGAGGAAAATGGAAAGCATCCCCTACAATGCACTTCTGCCTGACCCATCTTAAGAGAAAATAACTCGAATCAGTTTTTTGAATCAAACCACCCAGGCATAGATGGATACAAGGTTGACCAGCTGTTTCCAGGACAGCATCCGGAGAATATTCATTCTTAGCTAGGTCTTTTTTGCCTAAATCAAATCAAAGGCACTTTCCAAAGTGTTTCCTTTGCAAGTCATTTCTGGAGATATACCAACACATACATGCTTCCTTTCTCTGCACAGAATGGGGAGAGCAGAGGCCTACATTTTTGGACCATTCTCCATCTTCCTTCTTCTGTCACCATCTCTGTAGGCCAAGATTTCTTCCTATTCTCACCAAAGACTCAAAAGAAGTGTAGAGTTTGCTCTGGTTTCTCTCTCAGTCCCTAGAATCTAGGGTCCCCTCTCCCCAAATTCCAGGATTGGTTCTGGGAATGTTAAGATGTTGCAGGAGGATTAGAGAGCATTATCTTTGCAGCAACCTGCCTGGATTCCCAGAAGCCCCCACCCCAGCCCCGGGTCCAGGGAGAATGACAAACACAAAGTTCTTCTGGGTCTGTGAGCCCTGCAAAAACCTGAAATAGCATTAATTATAATTACAGAAAAGCCTGGAAACTGGAGGCCTGAATTCTAGTCCTGGCTTCTGTGCTATGGGAATCTAGACAAGTCATTTACCCTCTCTAAGGTTCAATTTTCTCAGCTGCAAAAGGAAGGAGTTTAATTATACAATATCTGCAAGTCCTTTTCACATCTATACAGACACCTATATTGTGGACTCCTATGGTGTTAACAGAAAGGATGACAAAGTCCGTATTTCAACTGGATAATCAGTAGTCAATGTGCCTGTAGGCCTAGCTTTCTGGTAAGTTCTGTGAGAAACACAAACTAATCTGGAGTTAGGGTTCAAAGAACTTGTACCCTAATTAAACATGCAAATGAGGGGAATAAAATTAAGAAATAGAATTATGCTAATGTCAGTAGACTAAGGTGGGGCAGGGATAAACTTACATTTGGTTTCACTCATGGAAATAAGCTTCCCTCTCAGATGCTGGTGAGTAACTGCCAAAGACTTTATTGATTGTAAAACTTAACTGATGGCTTATGAATCAAAGACCAAGTAGATTTGATTGCTTATTATCTGCTTATCAGTGTTTACTGATGCACTTTTCTACATTAGAAACAAAAATGCTCATGTTGCAATAAGATTTCAAAAGTTCTTAGTGATCCAAACCACATGAAATAATCAAAAGGGAATGATAAGACGCAATAACTGCTGCTCTTAATATGAGTACTAACAAGGGCCTTGCCCTGGGTGGGGAGGCAGCTGCAATCCTAGGCAGCATGGATGGAGGCCTCCCTGAAATGACTTCAGGGGTCTTGGGGGCATCTCCCAAGGCCTTCCTTCCTTTGGTGCTCACTTCTGAAATACATGTAAGGTCATACATCATTGTTCATTTCAAAATAGCACATTAAGTTTGAAAGGCCATCCCTAAAGGAAATCAAATATGGTCAATACATAATTCTGCATCTTAAACCATCTCTGGAATTATTCATGATTTTTACCTGGTCATTTCTTTTTCTGGAGTGGTTCCAGGTGGTACGTCTCCCTTTCTGTTTTCCTGGAAATATCTCAAGTGTGGAGCAAGTACTTCTGCCACAAAGTGCCCTCTGATGTCTCGTGCTTGCTTGTGCATAGTTTTCTCTGAGTCATCCCTGGCCTTGTCCTTTTCACCTGCTGACTTTCCTGTGGCTGGGCCCTGCCCTGCCCCAGTGCTGGGCTCTGCAGAAAGCCCGTGCCCACCATCAGGGGTGTGCAGCCATCTTGCCTCTGTCCTGTTGACAGCCAAGTCCCTGGATGCCCCATTGGAGTTCTGGCCAGAGCAGGAACAGTGGTGGCGGTTGGGATAGAAGAGTGACCTGTCAATCAGCCATGTGGGAGGAGGGAGGGGGCTGGTGCGCCCCTAAGTAGGGGCTGGTGCTTCTGCCTCCTCTGGGTTTAAGCTGGGCAGTTACCTACAGATGCAGTATGAGCTGTTCCACAGTTCAGCAGCTCCTTTCCTACTTGGTGTGGGAGCTCCATGAAAAGGTGAACAAAGTCTTCTGTCTGATAGTGAAGTAGTTGGGACTCAGAGTGCCCAAGATTTTTTCACAAAACGGTGACCCTTGTAAATTCAAGAAGATTTCATCAGCCCCATCCCACATTCCTGAGGCTCTGCTTCCCATTGCGAACTATTTCATAGCAAAGTCCCTGGACATCATCCTTTGCCCCCTGTTGGACTGGCTCAAGAAGAGAAGAGCAAAATGATGACACAGACGAGGTTGGATTCCAGCAGCTTAAGCTCCATCTGTCCCAGCTGTTGACCTCTTTTCCGTTTAGCCACTAGCCCCTCAAACTCTGCATGTCCCTCCGCCAAACCTCTCCAGGGTGCTCATCTCCAGGTTCCTGGATGCTCAGAG